ATAGCTATTGCTGTATAACGAACAGCAGAGGGAGCCACAATCAGAAACAAGCAGTTTTTAGGACATTAAACTGTCACTTCAGAATAACTGTAGTTGTGTTCCATGCTTAAGGGCTAATATCTAATATACGTAGGCCTACTTGTTGTATAATAACAGGAGTGATTGATGTGCAGATTTATCTGATGAAGATTCTGAAGCATGTTTGACTCTATGAGACACCAAAACGGACTTTTGCAATTTGTAATCAATGTGTGGTTAAGCCCTATGTTCTGAAGTAAAACGTATATCTGATGAAGGAGGAACAGAAGATTTCCACATGCACATGATAAAACACAGCATGCACAAAGGTCTGTTAACCCCGATGTTGTGTTCGGGTCTCCCGCGACCTGTTTCAAGTTAAAATTATATAATAACTACGCTCTAGTTTTTTTTTTATCGGAACAAGGCTTCATGATATCCTCCACAACAGCTATATAAATACTACAAAACAGATTTTTACAATTTTAGCCAAGTCTGAAGGTCTCTAAAAAAAAGTGTATAATTTTGTCTTCGGGTCTGGGGAGACCCAGCAGAATTGTTGTGGGTCACTCGAGGTCAAATTTGGCCCAATCAAGATTCATCTTTGACTTTAGACACCCCTCCCCCACCCCCTTCATCAACTGTAACAATAATTGTTCGCAATATACACCTGAGGCGCTTTCACACCGCAGTACTTTTCCCACAAAGGTTCATGAGAACTTAGTTAATGAGAACTCTCTAGTTCTCATGAACTAAATACAGATCGCGTTCACACCGGAATAAGTCCCTGAGGGAGGATCAGGAAAATGAAGCCGCTGACGTCACTTCTTCTTCTTCTGCTTTGGGTTTACTGGCAGGCCGCAAACAACTTCACGGTGTACTGCCACCCGAAGTTAGTCCCAGCAGCTTCTACTGAAGCCTTCAGAGTAAATCGCCAGAACGCCGACACCTCCTCATCTCCACCGCTCCCATGTTTTATTTTGTGTTGCCATAAGTTAGTGTTTCTGCGCTGGGCTAATGCTAATAATGCTAATGTGAGGATAATAAAATGGCGGCTTCACAAAACGTTTTGGGAGTTTTATGGGGCGTGGTTTGAATTCCGCCCAGCCAATCAGACATAGGAAGCTTTTTCTCCCACGGAAGTCCCTGCTCTCTAGCAGGGACTGAAAAGGGGGTAAAAAGGTTCTGATGAACTCATTTTAATTCCGGCTCTTTTTGGTGTGAAAGCGACATTTCGGAACTATATCGGAACTAAAGTGGGAAAAGCACTGCGGTGTGAACGCGGATCTGGGGCCTCATTTATAACGCCGTGCGTAGGATTCACGTGGGAAGGTTGCTTATGTAGTAGAAATCCGAAAAATAGGTCCATACATTTTCCGCCACTTTCCGATTCGCCAAACATTGCGTAGCCTACCAGCGAGGAAAGTGCGTATGGCACGTCCTACGCCGGTTTCCCTTTATAAATCACAACCGACTCGAAATGCGGTGGAGCTTTTGCGGGCGACCCATATTTTCCTATAAATAGTCAAAGAAACGCCTTTCATTCATTCATTTTGACTGACTGCATGGAGAAGATCACAGGAAATTATGACAGAACAGCTAAAAAAAACATCTCACACCGTGTCAGATTTTGATTATTTTGGGGAGGTCGAGATAAATCCTATTGTTTGGTGGATGCAGTTGTAACCAGAGTAGCAGCATGGAGGTCGGATCGTCACCAAAATAAATAAATAAGTGGTCCGAAAAAGGTTAATGACAAAAAAAATACACATAGCCTTCCTCAGGCAGTGTGTTTGTACCGGGGACAGGAGACCCCCCCTTGATGAGAAACTGTAAGAAATGATCGGGGAATCCCTCCGGAGTGGAGTCATGACGACTGGATCTGAATTATGTTAAATCCATCGATCTGATTGGTTATTAGCAAATGATCAAAATACTACGGAGGGAAGATATTTTCGTTTGGATTACTAGTCTGGGGGAAGCTCGCGAGTG